TTATTTATATAACTGCCTAAAAATAAAATGTCTTAGTTAACAGGAAGGCTACAATTTTAAGTTTTTGGAGAAATTTGTCCAAATTGTCCTCTAGAAAATTTGTATCCCTTTATGCTCCCACCAACAACGTAAAAGAGAGCTCCTTCATTCATATCTTCACTACCCTCAATCTCATTAATCACTGTTAATTTGATAATCAATTTCTATTTTATTCTGGTTTACATTTATTATATTTTTACTGAGGAAAAGAATTTTAATTACATGTCATTGGCTCTTTGTATCTCTTCTTTGGTGAACTACCAGTTTATAATCTTTGTTTTATAACCTGTTGAGATGCTTATCTTTGTCACATTGTAGTTTAGTTGCTCTTTATTAAGAAAATCTTTGGGCCAGGTGTGGTGACTCATGCCTTTAATCCTAGCATTCTGGGAGGCCGAGGTGGGCGGATCATTTGAGCTCAGGAGTTCGAGACCGGCCTGAGCAAGAGCGAGACCCCCCATCTCTACTAAAAATAGAAAGAAATTAACTGGACAACTAAAAATATATGGAAAAAATTAGCCGGGCATGGTGGTGCATGTCTGTAGTCCCAGCTACTCGGGAGGCTGAGGCAGAAGGATCGCCTGAGCCCGGGAGTCTGAGGTTGCTGTGAGCTAGGCTGAGTTTAGCTCCAACAACAGAGTGAGATTCTATCTCGAAAAAGAAAAAAGAAGAAAATCTTTGACTATTGTATAGGCTGTAAATATTACTCAACTTGTATTTCTACCTTTAAATATGTTTTGTTTGTTTGGGTAAAGGAAAGGGGTTAGCATAGACATTTTCAAGTTATGTGTAGTTAATTTTATCTCCTCCTTAGAAAGCCCAAGTGTTTCTTAATGATAATGTATACTTTTAAAAGTTGTGTGGTTTTATTTTTGCATTGGAAACCAACTGAAGTTTGTTTTGGTATGTGGTGTGAGGTATAATAGGAATTTGATTTTCTTCCCAGATGGTAAACTGCTTGTCCTAACACCCATCAACCTTTACCTATGAGTTTAAATGTCTATGTGTGTATGTACATATATGTCTATATATGTTGGGCTTTCTGTTGTTCCGCTGAGATTTTGATCTTCACTGTTTCAATTATTTTAACTTCATGGTTTACTTTAGTATCTAGTAGATCAATCTCTCATCCTCCTTGCCCATTTTCAAAAGCTCCTTTGCTATACTTATATATTTGTTAGTCTAGATGGACTTGAAAATAACTTTGTTAGGTTCCAAACAGAGAATAATTTGGGGATTATGACTGAGGATACATGAAATTTTTATATTAATCTGAGGAAAAGTGGCATTTTATAGCATCGATTCGTCCTACCCAGGAATATGTTATGTCTCTCCATTTGTTTGAATCATATTTTATGGCCTTCAGTAAATTTTTATAGCTGTCTTCATATTAGTCCTACAAATTTCTTGTTAAGTATCTTTTTAACTATTTTATATTTTTGGGTGCTATAATGAATGGAAACTTTCATGGTTTCTAATTGGTTATTGTTTGTATATGTGCATCTAGATTACACTTTTGATT